TATATGGATGGATATAAACAGAAACCTGTAGTTCTTTCCATTGTGTTGAATAAATGTTCTGTAAAAATTGGGTTGTAAGATCTCTAACTTATATCTAATGTTTCAAGTAATATTTAACATATTTTATATAGTTTATATTAGAACACAAAAATGAAATGTACTTGTGTCTTTAATATTAGTTTTGACACATGAAGATATACTGGCAAACAGCATTCTGTTCTTTCTTGTTGGATATGACACTACAGCCAATGCATTGACTTATGCTGCTTACAGTTTGGCTCGTAACCCAGAATGCCAAGAGAAGCTAATCCAGGAGATTGATGCAGTCTGGGAAAAGCATGTAAATACAAAAATTAAATCAAAACTCTTCAATTCGTACATTTTACAAATTCCTAATTATAGAGTGCTCTAATTATTGTTAAGATTTAATTGATCAGTTCCTACCAATCATCAGCAGGATATATTTCCATTTAATATTTTAAAATATCAAAGTTCTTGTCAGAATGTTTGCTAAGCAATGAAGTTGATGAGCAAGGGTACTGAAAATAATTGATTACAACTGATTCTTTGTAAATACTAGTTTACTTTATTTTGACCAGATTTGAATAAAGAAACTTGTGTTAGCAGAAGTTTCATTTCATATTTTAATTTTTGTTTAACAGATACAGTATTACCTGTTAGAAGATAACTGGGCTTACTTTTACAACATAATATAAAAAATTTTAAACTTCTTTTTCTTCAGGATATAATTAAAAGCATATATTTTTGAAATGTACAAACTTATAATACACTCTTTGTATAACTTAAGTATATTTAAAAATGTTTAAAAATAAATAAAATTAAAGTTATTTAATTTAGTTTAGAGGGTGGAACAGCCTAGATAGACCAATAGTTCCCATCTTGTCCCAAAATGTTGTTATGTTTATCCAAAAATGCAACTTATTCCATAATATTTCATAATTTAATACCACTTGCTTACTTTATTCTCCTTTTTGTAATTCTTAGTTATAGTTTCTACAGTATCATTATTCCAACTAACTTTACACAACCACTGCTACTTCTACCCTCTTACTACATATTTTAAAGTGGCACAATAGAAAGTATACTTAGAATAAGATTTTCATTAAAAACGGAAAGTACATTGGACAAACTTAAATTTTATTTATTTTTGAACATTTTTAATACACTTAATTTATACAATGAGTGTATGATATGTTTGTACAGTTGGAAGATATGTATTTTAATGTATATTATTTATGTTTAGTTGATAAACAGTGTTCGAATGTTTGTGCTATATATTTTCAGTGAAATTATATCTTAAAGAGTGACCTTTGAAGTCATAAAAATGGTCAAAGAAATTGATAAAGCATAGTTAAAACAGAAGACTATATTATTTGAGTGTTTTGTGCAATGTGGAGAAAGTTTAAGTAATGTGGAAGTAAAGAAATTGTATCTGACGATATTATTCTAAAATTATTTGTCTTACCATTAACAATTTAAAATTAAATACACACTTTTTGTTTAGATGTTATGATTTTATATCTTATTTAAGGGTGGTATTGACTATGAGACAGTGGGAAAGATGACCTACCTGGACTGTGTCTTATCTGAAACACTAAGGCTGTTCAGTATTGCTGTTGTGTAAGTAGTACAAATCTTACAATACACAACAAAATGAGGGTCATATATCATGTTATCCTTTTTCCGTATATATTAAAGACTGAAATGGTATCAAATGGTCTTCTAAACATGTCGGAGAATAGGAATGGTAATGACCTGGAATTTCTGAATTTCCTGGAAAATACTTTAATTATTTTGGACCTCAATAAATTTCCTTGAAAAGTACTGTAATTTTCTTGGTGACTGTGAAGGTTAATTTCCATTGAATAATAACTGGAGGAAATTACAAATTCTGAAGGTTGCAGTACTTGCTGGTACATTAATACTAAGTGATTAGTACCCATTCCTCAAAGTAAATATTTTTTTAATATATTGTTAGAAGCCCTGTCGACTAAAGAACATTTCTGTGCTTTTGACTATTTATTAAAGAACATTATCTTGTTGTGGTGAATACAGTATTATACAGTGAAATTTGTTTAGGTTGAAAATCTAAGAATCAATTTTAAAATGTTTAAAGCCTTCAGGTTATTTGGGTTCATTATAAAATAACCATAAGTCATAGTCAGTCATCAACCTTAGTCAGTGGTGATGAATAAGTACTGACCCTGCCATTCATATTATTAAAGTGTAATAATATTATGTTATATTTCATATAATGTTGAGCTTTAGAAGTTAAAGTTACTATCAAAATAATGTCATCATGAGGGTAAAATACATTTCAAGACATTTGCTTAGATGAAACTGTATATAGTGAGTGACTTTGGGAAGTTATAAACTACAATGTAAAGTCCACTGTAGTTTTTACAAAATTGGCTTTGTTGTCATTAGCATGAGTGTTGTGACCTATTTGTCTCCAGTTAAGTCTCAAGAAAAATGAAAAAGCATAAAAAATTATGTTGTAGCTTGAAATTTTATGTTTTTAAAAAAATGAACAATGATAGCAAAAGCTTTAACACTCACTCCCAGCAATTCCAGCAAATAAGAGATCCTGTTGTAATAGCTCCAGGATCCTCAGTTGTTAACTCCAAAAACTGTCAAATATTTTCTTCTGTTGGATTTTTAAGACTACCAAAATCAGGAGTTTCTCACAAAATACAAAATTCTGAAATTAATTGAGGACTTGAGGAAGTGATGACTTATTTTTTTGCTCAAAGCAGCATGATTTCTGCAAATTAATTTCCACCTATATTGCTTGATAGTGAAATTGCAAAAACAAATTATAATGCACAAAGATAAGTTTATATATGTATGATTGTGTGTGTATTGAACAGGGGTAAAAATGGCTCAGGTGAATGGATGAATGTATCTATCCAGATTAGTCCTGTAAAACAGTCAGTAGCTATTGACCTAAACTAGTATTGTACCAAAGCTGGTTTTTTACAAACTTAGAGTATAGAGTATATCTCAGAATTACTTTAATTCAAAACATACTCCTTATATGTTATCCTTGGGAGTTACAAGACATCAGATGACAATTTTAGATGGAGTCTCAACAAGTGTTTTGAACTTTGTATAACATGTATTACATATATATGTGTAATACACACACACCTAAATCATATGTATTAGATGGTTAAAATTAGACTTCAAATACTATACAATAAAAAAGGCTATCTGGAATTAAGTTATAAGAAGAATACAAAGAACACCAACAAAAATTCATAAAATTTAGAATCAACATGAAGATCTAAATTCAGATCCTGGTAAGGAGTGATCAACTTTATTTCTGTTGAAATTATTTTGTTTCCAATTTATTTTACGTTGTTTATAAGTAATGAAATGACATGCATTTCAATTCACTAACAGTCTTTGAATGCTCTTATAAACAAACTAAACCTAATGAGTAAACTTTGAAAATTTAGAAACCAACGAATATTACCTGGATAAATTTGTGACTTTGAAATCATAATAATGGTGAAATGTTTCATGTCTTTGTACATGGAACACAATTTTGATATATTCTATATCATTGGTACTGACATGATAAAATCTTTGGAAGTGCAAACATTTGTTTAGAATTACTTAATCCATCTTTGCTTGATTCTCATTAAATAAATATAAATTTTAGTTTAGTTTACCTAGTCCAGTGATGCATAAAGCAGCTAAATAGTTAAATTTATTAAAATGAATTGTTTATTTAGCCCTTTTACTACATTTTTTTACAAGCAGATTACTGTACAAGCTAATGAAAATCAATTATTCAATTTACAATAATGATAATTAATGTAATATACACACATGTATTCATAATTGTTATTTCATATTAAAATGAAGCTCTTAACAAAATGAGACAATAGTGTACAACAAAAGTCAACATCCCACTAATAGACTCTGTACTAGTTAACTAGTTACAGTTTGCTCGGTTTAAAAAGCTGAGTAATATATTTATTATAGTTCATGTGCTGGTTTAAAAAAAGTAATTTTATCTTTTTTTTAACTTGTATAAATTTTGGTAAATTTACCATTTATGTATGTAAATAAACACTAAACATTCCTACCTTCATTAAACCTGAAATATAACTCCATACTAAGAGTAATAATTACTCCATACTAAGTGTATAATATGTATGTTTTGACAATTATGTAATAGAGCTGAACGACGGGCTAGCAAAGATCATCAACTAGGAGAGACGGGAATCACCATACCAAAAGGCATGATCATTCACATTCCTATTTATGCTATTCACCATGACCCTGAATATTACCCTAACCCTAATGCTTTTGAACCAGAAAGGTATGTGCAATTCCAGTTTTTGTTTTTTAATTCTTTTGTTTTAGTATATTGTTGTAGTATTCTGACATTACTTAATGCTGTGTATTGTTATTATTGCTTTATCTTTTTTGGTGCAAGATAGAAGTTTGTGTGACATTTCTGTAAATATTTATTTAAATAAATGAATTAATAATTAGAACAGCAGTGTTTATTTAATCCATTTGGTAGGTGTATACATTATATTACCATTACCAAAGGTACTGGTACAGCAAATTCAAGATCAGTTCTCCAAACCTGCATTTGCATCTTTTTTCCTCACAATGCAAAGCAGCATGTGTTTTATAAAGATTTGTAATAAATGCTGAATTTCATTTCTAATCATATTTCACGAGGTAAAGAGTTGACTGACCTCAGAATTGGTTATTGGGGGACCAGGGAGGAGTATGAGTATTCAAATGATTTCCATTATATTGGGCTTTCCTGAGTCAACTGTGGGTAATGCCATTAGAAAATTAAAATAAAAAAAAAAAAAAAAGTAAAAGGTTAGTACGACTATTAGTAGTAAGTTAGTACTAGTACTAGTACGTACGAAACGGTAACTAAAGTTTAAAAGGGAA